CACATTTTGCACTTGTAAGCAAGAACTTTCTCATTTGCATAAATCCCTTCATCTTTATGAAATGTATTTATATCCGTGAACTTCAGTGTGACACTGAATAAACAGTGCTGTTATTCCTCAAATGCTCACTACCGCTGAGTTTCGCACTGTTGCATGCACATTGCACACGGGTCAACATCCTTTTTATGACAGGAAGTGCACAACGGCTCACCTGGTCTAGCTGAATGAGCTGCGGGTATGCGCCCGGCATCTGAACGGCAATCTTTACTATATCCTTTTGCTGAGGCATGTTGAAAAATGTACGTCTACAACCCTGAAAGAGAGGGGGGGGGAAGAAATAAACACTAAAAGCAACCTACAAGTATTCGAACAATGGGTACAAACACTTTTCAAAGTGTATGAGCAACTGTGCCAACCAAACACAAGTATACTGACATATTTCAAAACATACTGAAATGTCACCAAGGTGAAGAGTGTGGACAAATGCTAGGACGCTAAATGTGTCACTAATTCTATTTCCAGGGTGATTGTGGGTGACTGTGTGTTCTGTGTTTACAGGCTTCCTCTTTTAAAAGAGAACTTGTGTGTCCCTCTCAGGTTGTGCTTTATGTTACATTTAAGTCAGCATGCTGGTTTTTATTTTTAGATTAATGGTAGTAAGTGCTAATGGTAAGTGCTCTCATTTTCTACTTGCCTCCTACAGACCTACACTTGTGACTATCAACATTAAAAGGATAGTTCATCCAAAAATGAAATTCTGTCATCATTTACAAAATTGTACTCCCATTGTATATTTCCATACTATGGGAGTCAACGGGGGCCATCAACTGTTCGGTTCCCAACATTCTTCAAAATATAATCTTTTGTGTCCAACAGAAGAAACAATTCAGGTTTGGAACAACTTGAGGGTGTGTAAATAATAACAGAATTTTTCATTTTTGGGTGAACTATCCCTTTAAGACTAGTCTAAGTCTACACCAACCACAGTTCATTTTACACACTGTTCTATAGTGAAAAGTGATAAAGAATGTTAAAGCAATAAAAAGTGATAAAAAATTAAAATTCTGTCATTATTTACATTATTTACCCTCATGTCGTTCCAAACCTGCATGAATTTCTGTCTTCTACAGGTCACAAAAAAGAGAAAATACAGTGCTGCTCATGAATATCTAGTTAACTTGCTGCTAAGTGTTAAACAAAACTCTCATGATCTTTCAAGGATTTGACGTCAATAATAACCTTGCAAATTCTTCTTCCTCAAAAGTTCATAGTAGCTGCCCAGTGCATTGTAAACATATAACTTAAATGAACAGCCCAGACAAAATGAAAATTATTGGGTCCGAAACAGCATTGAGCCCTATGATTTTCATTGTATGGACAAACAACACTGAGATATTTCCCAAAATATCAGAAAGAAGTGTGTGATTTCAGTCATCTCTACCTATTTTTGCATGCAATACGCATCAGATAGTCAGTGAACAGACTGTGGGCGGCCCATGAGTGTGGCCATCTGCGGCTAAAACTACGTCTATATGCACATGCACACAGCTGCTTTATTAAGGAGCCTCCGCCGAATTGTTAAACAGACTCAAGTACTTCCATATGTGTCCTCGGAAGACTTCCCATTGGAAGAGGGAAAGCTGTTTTTTGAACTTGGACAATAAAATACACTAAATGGGCCCAAAAACAAATTTCAGCTAAAACTTCAATCATACCTCTGTGATTTATACCGATTATTCACAGAAAGTTAACTAATCTAAATTACATGATTAAAGACCTCCACATATCAATGAGCTTTTTCAAGCTGATTAAATTACTCGTAAGACAGCCTTCCGTCTAAGGCTTTGGGTAAGAGCTCATGACACAGACTGAATTTTTGTTTCCCAGCATGCCTCAGCACGCTCAGTTGAAGTTGTGACAGCACAGCCCTCCTGCCACTGCATTTTTTAGAAATAGCTACAACAAGAAAGAAACTGTCAAAACGAGTTACACCGACTACTTTAGAGTCCACTGACAGTATTCCCAACTGATCCTTGACCTTTGAGTCTGATCTCCAGTGAGAGTGAATGGAAGAAATCAGGCTGCCTGGAATTCCATCCGTGCCAGCCTCTGACAGACCAGCAACCTCCAAAGCAGACATCACACACTTTTTCTGCAAAGTTTCACTGGATTTCTCAATCAAATCCAGAAATTATTAGTTAGGCTACATGTCATGCTCGTGGTTATGCATTTTATCCACTAATAATTGACGTCAGGTACAAAAGATTTAAAGGGAAACATTTGTATTCAATTAAAAACTATTTGCATATAAACCCGACAGAGCATTTAGATTGAAACGATATGGAACCTTCAAGTAAGTCACCAACAGAATCAAAGCTTGCGTTTGAAGCTTCGTTGTTCTATTTATAACAACAGTTCAATGCGTTTCCAATGCAAAATGATTAGGTAAATATAAACATGTACACGTTTAAATCTGTTTTGACTTGTTTAACGTTCGAGAGAAGTAGCAGCCAAAGTGTTTCGAACAAAAGTTATTTCCTTTCGTCTTACCTGTGGGAAAGCAGGAAAAAAATCACACTCTGCGAGGTCGCGGAGCGGATAAACATTTGCGCTTTGTTCGCGCGAAACGGCGACAGTGATTTGATTCTTTTCGAACTATCGGCTGTTACATTTCGTCCAAAGTTTTCGGAGAGTTCTAATTGATCACATTCACAGTTCCGGGTTGAATAATGTCCCTCCCGCCCCCTGGAGGAGGGAGCGGAGACCCGACTCTCCAAAAGTTTATGGGAATTTTTTTTTTTTTGAGGGACCCAGAGGGGAGACCCGAAACCTTACAGTAAACTAACGCTGCCCGAGACTAAACTAAACGCAACATTTATAATAAACGCAGCTGTTTACAGACGCAAGTTAGACTGTACTGTAGATGTCGGTTCCCTATATTGTCCATAAATACTGATATGGGAAATACCTGAATCTGCTATTTTACGTATTTTATTATTACTTCATTATTATTCATAAACAACCTAGCTCTGCAGAATTTCTACTCGAAATTGAGTATATAAAAATACTAATGATAAGCATTCGATAAGAGAATATTTAATAATCAATTTTTGGTGTTATTGTTTTCTGTATCTTAATTATATCTTAATGCAACTTTTTTTGCATCAGTGTATTTTCATGGATTAATATCCTTTAGTTTACACAACAGCATCTAATAAATTATGTAAAATGTTTTGTTGACCATTTAATTGTTGAAAAAAAATACATTTCATTATTATACAATTATATAAGACAGTTGATTGATGCAGTTTTATTTTTTTAATCACCAAGACAGACTATTAAAATAGTATCTTCAATAGTAAATTAAAATAGCACCTTAAAGGGTCATGAAACCCCAGACTACTTTTTCTGAGATTTTAGCAGAGGTGTTTGTGTTGCACATCATAGAAGACAATGTTAGCATCCGATAATTTTAACTGTTGGAGAAAACTGGTTAATTTTACGCTTTTTTGCACTGTTTTCATCTTCGGGTTTAAAATCTACATTGTGTTGACGTCACAATTTGTGACGTGGCAATGGACTATAGTACATCTATGACGCATTGGTGTCTAATAAATTATTCATGAGACTGGGTGTTCTTATCCTATGAGAAGAGCTTCACTTAATTATTCACATGTAAGACAAAACACTTGTTTTTGTGATATTTAAATCTACAATGAAGTATAACAGCAGATTTGTTGATGTATATAATTATCCTGACACAAACAAACAATGCTGCTATAATTACCAAATGCAATTTATGTTGGTGTGACTGTTTACTGAAAGATAAAATTACTTGCTTTAACTGCTGTGACAACTGAAAACTTTTTGACTTTCTTATATAATAGCTAAACAATGTTATTTATACTTAATTGACCACATTAATTTAAGTTAGCAACCACAAACCAAAGGTTGGTGCCTTAAAGCAGAATGGTAATATTTCAGATCAATCCTTTGATGGTGCAAATACTCAAACTATGTTACCAACCCAAGTTTTTAACCACTACACTACAACAGACCTATTCAAGTGAAACTAGAACAGAAATGCCTGGATCTGCAGGATATGACTCAAGCACCTTGAAGCAGTATGACAGACTCCTAAAGAATTAAGTGAAGGAAAAAAAAAAACAAGGAAGCATAGCAGGAGCACATGCCTTAAAATCAAACAAAGATAAATTCAAGAGCATCACAAATACAAAAACATTATTTCATGGGGATGACAATTCCAGTAAAGAACAACAATTCCGGTATTTTACAATGACAGTGAAAATCTGAAAACTGCTTGAATTCCCTGGATACTGTAAAACTGACTCGGCCAGCCCAATCAATGCATAGGGCTGGAAGTTACCTGCGTGATAAACTGTTTTAAAGTGCAATGTGGAGATAAACTAGACAGAAGAAACTGCAGACTATTTATCTAATGAAAACCAGAGCAGTTGGAGATCTATCAAGTACAAAAATAAATGGTAAATGCTTACTGTGTACAAGCATAAAAATATCGTTTAGCAGATAGGAACATTAAGAAAACAAGAAATGATTTTAATGGGGCCAACCATTAGTAGCGACACAGTCAGGAGCCCACATAATGACATTCTGTTTGGACAACGCTTAATACACAGCACATTAATACTCTATTTCTTGTCATATTGTGACTTCTCTTTATTTCCCCCCCAAACCCACATCCTTCTTTAGACAGTTTGTCTCATATACAGACATAATGAAGATGTCACTTATTTTCAAAAGAATCTATACACATATATAAACGGGATAAGGGCAGATGTACTTTATGGACTGAAAACATAGGGAGGGACGATTTTTTAAAATACAAAAATAGCAACTGGCATCTAATTTAACATTTGTACAGGACCTTATTCACACTGTAAGCTAACCATTTTATATGAAAGACAGTTTCTGCCACAGAATGAAAAAAGAAAAAAAAAAAGTAACAGACTTTTTTTCCCCCTCGCAGTTGAGTTCATTTCTCACAATTAGTTCTTGTAAGTTTTTATCTCGCAATTCTGACTTTTCTCTCTGAATTCTCTCAAGTTTAAATCTCAAATTTTTTTAGTTTCAAACTGAATAAAAAGGTAATTGCAACGTTTTCCTACGATTCCGATTTTTTTCTCGCAACTGCGACTCCATTTCAGTTTTCTCAGAATTGCTGAGAAAAAGAGTTGCAATTACCCTTCTCATTTTTTTATTCCATGGTGAAAACTAGCTTCCATAATTTTGAGAGTGAGACACATAGGATTAAAAATAGACAAAATAGGAATGGTTCATCAACACAAAGTATGTTCATTTACTTTTTCTGATGATCGACACTCTTATAAATAGATTTTGCCATGTAGCACCAAACTGTATCAAACCCACACAGGACAGGTTATTCTGCAATGCAATCTTCTCCACTAAGTTGCTAGTGTAACTTAATTACTTCGGCATGGTGTTTCCAAGAGCTGTCATTTGCTGCAAGATGAGAACAAACTTCTGCCTACAAGCAGAATCGCCTCAAAATGTATGCATTAGAGGCATGCTTTCTTCAAAAGAATAATCACACAAGAAATACACCGTTTCATTAACAATCTGTATAAGAGAAAAGGTGCTACTTTAGAAGAGGAAGACCATTTAGAAAGACACATCCAGCTGGTATTTTCATGGTACCATTAACCATTGCTGGTGAATTTAGTCTATTTTGTGATAAACATGAAATTCCCTCGACGTCTATACAAAAGTAGTATAAAAACAATTCGTTTGGGTCTAATTAACAAAAATGGTTTGTATGGATGTCTGATGTCTTCATCAGATTGGATCAGTTGAATTTAGCAGGGAAATTCAGCCGCTTTGGGTTTGGAGTAAATATACACATATAAAAAAAGCTTTATATACACACAGAATCAGCTTATCATACATATGGATCTGACACAGAGCCACACTTTCTTTTTTTTCTCCTTTCAAAAGGGTAAATAAAAAAAAGTTCTTTTAAGTACACTACTCTCATTGTATGGTGTGTTTGGAGGTCAAAGGTTGGCAATGGGAACGTCAAAGAGGTCACAAAGGCCCTCCGTCTCATCCAGGTTATAGATGTAGTCATGGTCACCCGGAGGAGGGGATAGACGGAGGAGCGGAGAGAAAACTATGAAAGAAAGAGAGAAGAAGAGTGATACTATGGCCATGTTTGTGTAACAATATGAAACTGTCTAACAGTTGCTCCTTTGATTTTTCATCACACCCATCATGATGTCATTGAGCTTTTTTTTTCTAAAATGGATACAATTTCAGTTGACAGTCAAATTTGAACTACTTTTATTGATTATATACATAATAGAACACATAAACCCAGGATTTGTTATATACATAAACATCCAAACTTCCATTTCATGTTTAGTAATAGACTATATACAGGTGGCCTGACTCATGATCGGCTTTACCTTCTGATGACATCAGCTCCTCAAGCAAATCTGTACTCATAATTTCTGTATGGAGAAAGAAGGAAATATGACAAATATGAAAACAATTTTTCTGTGTGCTATATAAAATCACAGATTCTCTGGTTGAGTTAAGCACATCAGCGATAGATAAGCATCAGGAAGGAGCAGCAAATGTTAAACATGTTTGACCTCACCTTTAGGGTCAAACATTTCTGAAAGTTCTTTGGGGAGATCCAGCACTGAGAAAACGAAGAGAAAACCGAGTCAGAATTGCATAAGCAAGCCAATTTGCTTCAACTGATTCAGAACTTTAAAGCATTAAAGGAATTTTAATTAATCACTTTTATGGTACTGTCCCAAGCCAGACTCAACATTTCAGACCAGAATCTTCTTTCAATAAAGATTAATGACAGAATCATGCTCATTTTCAAAAGCACAGGCACTTACGATCTGAAGGGTCTGTTTTGATTGATTCAAAAAGGGTTGAGGAATCAGGAAGTGAAGAGCTGCTGTCCAGTGATGCAGAAGACTGCAGCTGCTGCGTGTCTGTTGAAGATGTCGGATTGGCTGTTGTATCTGAAGTGGAGGTCCTTGAAATGTCTAATAACAACAACAACAGTAATATAGCATGAGAAATTATATATTTCATTATATATAATTCAATAGTTAAATAATAACAACAATAAATGTTGTGTAATTAATAAACAAAAATACATAATTTACAATACTGGTTAAAAGTTTAGAATGATTAAAAAAAATGTAAATGCTTTTGAAAGAAGTCTCTTATGGTCACCAAGGCTACATTTATTTTTATTAAAATACAGTAAAACTGTAATATTGTAAAATATTACAATATTGTCATTTGTAATTTGAATATATTTTAAAATGTAATTTATTCCTGTGATGGTAGAACTGAATTTTCAGCAGTCATTACGACACGCCTTAGTGTCACTTGACCCTTCAGAAATCACTCTAATATGCTGATAATTAATAATGGTGCTTAATTATCAGTAATGGTTCTTATTATCATCAATGTTGGAAAAAGTTTTTTTTTTTTCAGGACTTTCGGATCAATAAAAAGTTCATAAGAACAGTTGGAAAAAGTTTTTTTCTGAAGGATCATGTGACACTGAAGATTGGAGTAATGACTGATAAAAATTCAGCTTTGCATCACAGAAATAAATCACATTTTGACATTTTAAAACAGAAAATTATTTTTTATCTGTAACATTTCACAATATTACTGCATTTACAGTATTTTTAATTAAATAAATTAAGCCTTGGTGAACATAAGAGACTTTAGAAAAAATCTTATTTCAAACATTTGAATATATAATTGGTAATATTATATATAATGATAACACTATATAATCCTTCATTACATAACCAACTTTGCCAATGTGTAAATCACAATACAATAAGACAACAAACAAAGCATTTTCAGACACAATAATTTATTAAAATATGGGCAGCATCCAACCTGTAGCTGCCCCAGCAGCAGAGGCAGTGGTTGTGTTGGGAGGGACGGCGGCGGCGGGACTCTGGCAGGTCTCCGTCTCATCCAGGTTATAGATGTAGTCATGGTCACCCGGAGGAGGGGATAGACGGAGGAGCGGAGAGAAAACTATGAAAGAAAGAGAGAAGAAGAGTGATACTATGGCCATGTTTGTGTAACAATATGAAACTGTCTAACAGTTGCTCCTTTGATTTTTCATCACACCCATCATGATGTCATTGAGCTTTTTTTTTCTAAAATGGATACAATTTCAGTTGACAGTCAAATTTGAACTACTTTTATTGATTATATACATAATAGAACACATAAACCCAGGATTTGTTATATACATAAACATCCAAACTTCCATTTCATGTTTAGTAATAGACTATATACAGGTGGCCTGACTCATGATCGGCTTTACCTTCTGATGACATCAGCTCCTCAAGCAAATCTGTACTCATAATTTCTGTATGGAGAAAGGAAACATGACAAATATGAAAACAATTTCTTTGTGCTACATAAAACCACAGATTCTCTGGTTCAGTTAAGCGTATCAGCAATGTTCCCTCTAAGCTGCGTAAACAGCCGCACACTTCTTATGTCGCAGCCTCGCAGAAGAAATAATATGTAGAGCACAAGACAGACACAAAAATGTGTTGGTAAAGCCATTTGATTGAATTCTAGTAAATGCAAAAGAATTGCAATGCTCGGGCAAACGGTAGCAAAACTCTGAGACATTTACAGTTACACACAGGTGTAGTGTGCAAACATGGGATGTTTTAGATAACTGTAAAAGAATTCACGTTCACGTTTTTTTTTTTATTGAAAATATTTGTTTTTTTATATTACATTATATTATAAGCGTAATAAATAACTGACCTCAAAAAGGGAATTCATGAGCAATAACTGCTTAAGTTTGTCATATTATATTACATTATATAATATACAACCTAAAATGTGCATCATTTAGTTACATCAAGGGTCAAATCAAATATAAATAGTTAAAAGTTACACACTTTTTTGTGTGTGTGCACTGAACAGGTTTGGTATAAAGAATGTTTTTGATCAGGAGGCCGAAATGCCCAACCAACAGAGAAAAGTTTTGCTCAGCAAGAAAAAAAGAGGGAACATTGCATATCAGCAATAGATGATAAACATCAACAAGGAGCAGCACGTCTAGCATGTTATACAGGTCCTCACCTTTAGGGTCAAACATTTCTGAAAGTTCTTTGGGGAGATCCAGCACTGAGAAAACGAAGAGAAAACCGAGTCAGAATTGCATAAGCAAGCCAATTTGCTTCAACTGATTCAGAACTTTAAAGCATTAAAGGAATTTTAATTAATCACTTTTATGGTACTGTCCCAAGCCAGACTCAACATTTCAGACCAGAATCTTCTTTCAATAAAGATTAATGACAGAATCATGCTCATTTTCAAAAGCACAGGCACTTACGATCTGAAGGGTCTGTTTTGATTGATTCAAAAAGGGTTGAGGAATCAGGAAGTGAAGAGCTGCTGTCCAGTGATGCAGAAGACTGCAGCTGCTGCGTGTCTGTTGAAGATGTCGGATTGGCTGTTGTATCTGAAGTGGAGGTCCTTGAAATGTCTAATAACAACAACAACAGTAATATAGCATGAGAAATTATATATTTCATTATATATAATTCAATAGTTAAATAATAACAACAATAAATGTTGTGTAATTAATAAACAAAAATACATAATTTACAATACTGGTTAAAAGTTTAGAATGATTAAAAAAAATGTAAATGCTTTTGAAAGAAGTCTCTTATGGTCACCAAGGCTACATTTATTTTTATTAAAATACAGTAAAACTGTAATATTGTAAAATATTACAATATTGTCATTTGTAATTTGAATATATTTTAAAATGTAATTTATTCCTGTGATGGTAGAACTGAATTTTCAGCAGTCATTACGACACGCCTTAGTGTCACTTGACCCTTCAGAAATCACTCTAATATGCTGATAATTAATAATGGTGCTTAATTATCAGTAATGGTTCTTATTATCATCAATGTTGGAAAAAGTTTTTTTTTTTTCAGGACTTTCGGATCAATAAAAAGTTCATAAGAACAGTTGGAAAAAGTTTTTTTCTGAAGGATCATGTGACACTGAAGATTGGAGTAATGACTGATAAAAATTCAGCTTTGCATCACAGAAATAAATCACATTTTGACATTTTAAAACAGAAAATTATTTTTTATCTGTAACATTTCACAATATTACTGCATTTACAGTATTTTTAATTAAATAAATTAAGCCTTGGTGAACATAAGAGACTTTAGAAAAAATCTTATTTCAAACATTTGAATATATAATTGGTAATATTATATATAATGATAACACTATATAATCCTTCATTACATAACCAACTTTGCCAATGTGTAAATCACAATACAATAAGACAACAAACAAAGCATTTTCAGACACAATAATTTATTAAAATATGGGCAGCATCCAACCTGTAGCTGCCCCAGCAGCAGAGGCAGTGGTTGTGTTGGGAGGGACGGCGGCGGCGGGACTCTGGCAGGTGGAGGTGGAGGATGGCGTACTGTTGGCTACCGGTTTGGTGGGTGCAGCAGCAGCAGAGGTAGTTGAAGCTGGGGTGGACAGGCTCTGAAGCATGTCGTCAGGCGGGGGCACGGGCAGCACCACAGGAGAAGAACTAGAGGGGTCCTTATTCACCAGCAGGACCTCGATGGGGCCTGCAGAGCTCTTCAGGTGAATCTGGTACTTCTTTTGTCCATTGACATGCTAAAACAATTACAATAATAATAAACAAGTGTATTTATATAGAAATATATAAACTCTCCACATTACTTTTTAATGGAAATACAAGCAGGACTTACAGATTCAGGCAGAGGAACCTCCAGCTGTGTTCCTGAAGGAGCTCTTATTGCTAGAAGAGTGTCACCTAGTGGCAGAGAAACATATATAGAGTTAACGTAGTAGACATTTGCAGCTTTCTGACTGGCAATAATTGTTATTGCAGTAACACTGGTGTTGTGTAGGGAGCCTGATGGGAAAAACCAACCTTTGAAGCAATTGCAGAGGTCTTGATGTGTTACATACGCCAGAGTGTGTCAAGTTAAGGACATAGAGCAAACATAAGCTTTCAAATACAAACTTCACTTTGAGGATCGATTTAAAGTGTCACATGAGCATCTACAGCTAAAACAATCCAGACTTTAAGTACCGTAGAGTGGTTACAACACTCAAAAGATGAAACCTAAAGGTGTAGCTAGAAGGATATGGGCTATTTAGCGAGTCGTCTGTCACGTTTTTGATGCTCTGCTGAACCCAAACTCTCTGCTGGTCCAGTTCATGTTCCCTCCTGTCAAGATCCTCCAATTCCAACTTGAGATCAATTAGCTTGTCTGCAATTTCACGTGTGTTGCAACCCGGACCAACACCCCTACAAACGAACAAAAACAGAGACAGACATTTAGATCAAGTGAATTAGTTAACATTCAAACAGATACCTCTCAAAAATATAAACAGCTACAGCTTAGTAAAGATATTAATTTTAAACAGATGTCTCAGAAGACCAGTTAAATGCATTTTCATGTTTTGGTTGGGTTATTTCTTCAAATAAACCTTGCTCATTGTCACTCACTGCATATTACTTCAAATTGTAATACATACATACAATAGTATTTTACAGTACAGTTCAAACGTTTGGTGTCGGTAAGATTTTAAAGAAAGTGCTCAATAAGGCTGCATTTATTTGGTCAAAAATACAGTAAAACAGTAATATTATGAAAGTTAAAAAAAAAAATCATTGTTTTCCATTCAAATATATTTTTAAATGTAATTTATTCCTGTGATGCAAAGCTGAATTTTCAGCATCATTACTCCAGTCTTCAGTGTCACATGTTCCTTCAGAAATCATTATAATAGGCTGATCTGCTGCATTTCTTATAATCATCAAAGTTGAAAACAGTTAATATTTTTTAAGAAACTGATACCTTGTTTCAGGATTCTTCGATGAATAGAAAGTTCAAAAGAACAGCATTTATTGGAAACAGAAATCTTTTGTAAAATTTTGGTCAGTTTAATATGCCTTTGCTGAATAAAAGCATTCATTTCTTATAAAAAAAATGTAAAAAATAAAAAATTTTTTTACTGACACTTGAGTGAAAGTGTATATACAATACTATATTTCATATTTACACAATATACTTTGAGTGAAAAAAGGTTGCCGTACCCATGCAATAATAATAATTAACATTATAATTACATAATGCTAGTTAGTTTCACAAAGAAAAGATGTCTGAGGTTCTTTTAACCCAGAAGCCCACTAAAATCTTTAATTTGTGATGTGAAACACTTTAATAATGCAGTGACCAAAAATATAGGAATAAGGAGTATGTTTCAACATTAAAGTCATCAGAAAGCATCTGCACGTCTGTCTTACTTCCACTGGATGCTGTTTTTGGATTTCTTCTCGATGAGTCCAATGCCTTCCAAAACATTGGTGATGTCATAGATACGCCGTTTTTGCCTTACAGCCAAAGTATCTGCAGCCTAAATCACATTCAAACAAACAGAGCAAACCAGATTATTGCTTCACCTCTTTACCCGTAAATGGATTAACTACACAACACACACACAAAGTGTTTTGCACAGTGCAAATGTTTCACATATGAAGCCATTAAAAGAGCAGTTCACTGAAAAATACTCACTTTTTATGACTTATTAAAATATTAGGCACAATGTGAGAGACAGACAGCGTTGGTCACCATTCACTTGCACTGAACCTTTTTTTCAAGCAATGAAAGTGAATGGTGACTGAAGCTGTCATTCAGCCTAACATCTTTTGTGCTCCCACTGAAAATATCAAGTCATATGGACTTGAAACAAAATGAGGGTGAGTAAATAGTCAGAATTTAAAAAAATTTCCCGTGAACTGTCCTTTCAAGACTGACTTAAAAAAAAAGACAAAAACAGCCCAGAAAAGTTGACAAGCAAGCAACTTGATGCAATCAGGTTCCAGCAGCAGCTGCGCATTTCTAAACCACTACTTCGAATACACAATCTTAGATCACTCAAAATCACCAAATAATACTTTTAACACACTTTAGACGTGTAATATTACGCTTAAACCCCAAGATATGCAAAGAAACGCCTCCCCTGGTCGCGCAGGCCTAAACTATCCCAAACTCCAGAGCACGTGCTTGTTTTGAAGGCTTTTGTTTGAGTTTTCAGCCCGGATGGGATCTGCTTCTCAACCGCGGGAAAAACCCTCCGGGACACAACAACAAACACCCGAGCTGATTTGCTTTGCCGATAGGAGTGACATAACATTTGCAACCTGTTAGCTGGCTCGCCTGGTGTAGCTGAGGAACTATTTTATTTGAGGCGAGCTGTCGGGGGAGTCGAGAGAGGGACTGTGCGTGCACGTGACCCCCTCTTCCCTTACCAAAGCAACTTTTTAAGCAACTTTTCCGTGCTGTTATAAGACCTAAAGTGCATCTGTTTGCATGCAAACATTAAAAACGATACATATTTAGCTGGCGCTGCGCGTCTCGAGCGATACTGAAAACATATAGCTGTTGATTGTGGTAGTGATGATGAGGATGAGCTCGTGTCGTACTTACAGCTTTTAGATCCAGCACTCCGTCCTTCGCTTCCTGCAGCAGAGTCACAAATTTAGTCGTGAGCAGTCCGAGACTTTTCTCGTGGCGACTGGGGGTCTGCGGCTGTAGCGACTCTCCCATTGCTCCCAGTTCGTTTCTTCCGGTCTCTAAATCCATCAAGTTGCTTTTAAAGTTTGATTAAATTCCCACAGTTCTCTTTCCGGTTGGTTTATGTTTGAATATTTAACGCTTTCTGCTGTTATATCGCTGACAGCACCGCTTCTGCCGCCCAAACGCTCGCTTCCCGTCAACGGCCGGTGATTCCTGAAGCATGGAGGGGGAAGTTCAGCTCGAAATGAGAGAGTATAGACCCCCGTTCAGGGACCGGTCCGGTTCAGGACACAGGTTACCCGAACCCAGATGGCCTAACAGAACAGACGCTCTCTCAAACACCAGGACTGAGCTGCTTGAATGACTGAAGCCGTTGAGGCGCAGTGCATCATGGGATGACCTGATAAAAAAAAATGGAAGGCTCCTGCATTCTGTCAAACGGCCTGTAGGGGGCGATAAGAACGGCACCTTGAACTAAGGCGGCCATGTGGGGGCCACAGATACCGTTTTTTCTCTGTCATATGATAAATTGAAAAATGCTAGTTTTTTTTGTAGCTTTTGATGTGTTTGAATTCATTAACCATTTAAAGCAGTAAGGCACCCCTGGATTTGCTTTCTTTGATTTTTTTCAATGAAGTGTTTTATCTTTAGGCATTGGTTAATTTTTTTTTTAGACTTTCTGACTTGACTGGCAGATAGATAGATAATATAATATAATATAATATAATATAATATAATATAATATAATATAATATAATATAATATAATATAATATAATATAATATAATATAATATAATATAATATAATATAATATAATATAATATAATATAATATAATATAATATAATATAATATAATATAATATAATATAATATAATATAATAATAATAATAATAATTAAGGCCTATTAATAAAAATATATATTGACAGACAGATAGATAGATAGATAGATAGATAGATAGTAGCCTATATATTGACAGATAGATATATAATATAATAATAATAATAATAATAATAATAATAATAAAGGCCTATTAATAAAAATATATACTGACAGACAGACAGACAGACAGATAGATAGATAGATAGATAGATAGATAGATAGATAGATTCGATAATCGGTCATTATAAATATATTCATTTTGAGCCTTCAGGCAAGGTGCACCATGGGAATGTTCAGTGTTTGAAGTGGGAGGGCTTGTGTGTTGCTATCTGAGTTTTACGTGAAAGGAGAGCAGTTAACCGCTGGACATCAGTCAGCATGCTGGGCTTTCTGATACTGGTGTGGATATGCATCTTCCTCCTGTTCCTCTTCATCCAAATCCCGAGGCCTAAGAACTTTCCTCCTGGACCTCGTCCTCTGCCATTATTTGGGAATCTGCTGGAGCTAAACATCAACAATCCTTTGAAAGACTTTGAGAGGGTACAGTATTACATTCTTTAAACACTTCATTGATCACTAATTTGAATCTTGAAGAAATACATTAAGAATATCCATGCAACATTCCAAAAATGCTTATTGGATTGTAAAATATATGGTAGCGTATTGAACTGCAAGCAGTCTAATGTCTCAATGCTAAACCTTTCAGCTCGCAGATCGCTATGGGAAAGTTTACAGCCTGTATCTGGGATCAAAACCTTGGGTGGTTCTTAATGGTTTTGAGGTTTTGAAGGAAGCTCTTGTTACTAAGGCTGTGGACTTTGCAGGACGCCCACAGGATCTCATGGTCAACCATATTACAAAAGGAAGCGGTAAATCTACTTGCAAATGAACCTTCCCTCTTATACCTTTGTACAGACTATGGTTAATCAATATCCTTTTGAGGTTGTTCACATTGTGTCTCTTCTATAGTCCAAAGAGCAATTTTCTACTTTATCCGATATTACACTTAGTATCATTGAGGCCAATAAATGATATTTACATATTACTGCAGGTGTAATTTTGTCTGACTATGGCTCCAGTTGGAAAGAACACAGACGCTTTGCTCTGATGACCCTGAGGAACTTTGGCCTGGGGAAGCAATCAATGGAGGAGAGAATTCTAGGAGAGGTTTCTCATGTTATTGCCAAATTGGAAAAAAGAGTTGGTAATAATGTGCTTATTTTTGTTACATACCTGTATCTTAAAGGAACAGTTCACACAATGTCAATTTTGACTTGACATTCAGATCAATGTACACTGTGTCTGTGCAGGAAGCCCCTTTGACCCTCAGACTATGTTCCACAATGCTGCATCAAATATCATCTGCATTGTTCTGTTTGGATCCCGCTATGATTATGACGATGAATTCCTCAAGCTTTTCATTCACCTCTATACAGAGAATGCAAAGATTGCCAATGGACCATGGGCCATGGTGAGGCCATGGTATAATCATCTTTTAAATGATTATATTCATAGCCAGGGCTGTCCAAACTCGGTCCTGGAGGGCCGGTGTCCTGCAGAGTTTAGCTCCAACTTGCCTCAACACACCTGACTGGAAGTTTCTATGCCTAGTAAGAGCTTGATTAGCTGGTTCAGGTGTGTTTAATTAGGGTTGGAGCTAAACTCTGCAGGACACC